TTCTAAGAATAATACTCACGCTCTGTTACGAGTTATCAGAAGGATTTAACAAACAGGTCTTATCGCTCAGAATGATAATGCAATGACGCATTACGTGGCCTTCTACTGAGTTAACTTAACATTTAAACAGAGATTAAATTATGTCCTCAGGAAATGTCTCTAACAGTGTCGCTATTCATATTTCAATTATGTATTTATTCAGATCACTGCACATAAAATCTGAATTTTAACCTTATACGCATCTTAAGTCTTCTTTTATTATCTGGTGTGTCCATCTAAATTTCTATCATCTGATTTAAGAAAACTTTACCGGTAGAGTGTTTATGTTTATGGACAGAGATTTTATGCATGTAAGATCCGGGGATTTTGTGTCTGCGAAAACAATAAATTCAAACAATAATTCAGCACCTTATTATCAGAAAAATGATTTGAGTAAGTTTAAATCTAAGTTGTCTGAAAGGAACAATTTCTTCGCGTTGTTCTAAGATAATTTGTTTAGTGTACTGCATAAATAAAAACAAAAGTAACTAGATTAAATGTCATTCCATCTTAATAAATACAGACGTGCAGAGTAAGTGAAATACGCACGCATGCATACACACACAAACATACACATACATACTCACACACACAATCATATATAAGTGTGTGTGTTTCAGTATCTATGAAGATGCATGCGCGTGTTTCACCAATAAAAAAATACTATAAATTCGAGTATTTCTAAAATATAGCGCTCTTAAGGAAAACAGTATTGTAGTGAAAGTACCTATGTTTTTAATATTATAACCACAAGCATAGCAATAGAGCCACAGATAAGCAAAAAATTACTAAGGCTCAAAGTATATGAGAAAAAGGAAGATATTATTAAGATAAGAAGATATTAAAGATCTGGAATTCAGAAGACTGAAGATAACAATTGGTATTGCATTTAAATCTTTGATGATCAAACTTGAGTAGAAAGGAAGAGGCCGTACGAGAGTTCCATAAGCGAGACGTGCGAAAGCAAAGAACTTACTATTACATGTAGCAATTCCAACTAAAATGATGAAACTTAGCTGCCAATCTAGTACTGAGCTTAATTTCGTAAAGTCAAGGTATTAGATAGGAAATCTCATCAGAACAATTACCATGAAAAATGTATCTAGAGATAAAGCATTAATATAGGGGAAAAAATAAATATTGAACTTACCTGTTTATTATTATTAGGCATTTTTTATGCTTAGCTGTTGCCCGCATGTTGATTTGTGAACGGTCATACGTAAACACCGTTTTTAGTAGATAAAAAGCCCACTAAACATAAATAATATCTACTACACACGCACACATACACACACTCATACGTTTTTCCAGCACCCACCCTCTTGACCCAGGGTAGCACTACCTTCTCAAGGCACTTGATGTTGGCCTACGTGTTGGGTCTGAAGCCCTTTAGAAATATGAATGGAGGCATAACGTCGCCATCACTAGTGGCCACTCCACAGACCATGATGTTGACTGGATATAGCGTCCAACTTTTTCCGAATTCTCTGCACTGTGACACCCAAAGACTGAAATGTTTGTAGTGGAGCTTCCGGTGAGAATGCCAAGCAGTACAACATGCCGTTTCCAAATTTCATGAAGTGCGCCAAGATGGTTTTTTTTCTCACAGACGGTGTCCAACTGACCCTAGTATACTGTACAGACAACAAAATAAAAACAGAGAGAGAAAGAGAGGTAGATAAAGAGAGAGAGAGAGAGAGGGGGTCCAAGAGCGTAACTTTTTCTTTCATAAGATTTCTCGAACATTCAGGTCGGCAGACGAAAATAATTGAATAAATCTACTGTTTAATAAATACAAGTTTAATTTAAAGTTTTTATGAAATTCTGTCGGATTAATAAAAAACAAATCTATTCTAAAATTCTCTTTGTTTACGTTTGGATACGAAACTGTACAGATATGGTAAAATCCGGGAGATTTATCACGAAAGAAATTTCGCCTAAAGGCTCATACGCACGTTCACACACACACACACACACACACACACACACACACACACACACACACACTATCTCTCTCTCTCTCTCTCTCTGCTACCCACACACACACATTATATATATTAATCTCTTTATTTGGGGAATTTTCTCGTACGACGCTGACTATAACGGTAAGAAACTCTTTCCCCAGTATTATAGCTCCAATTATAAACTAGAAACTTACTGAATTAATTTTTTTAAAAAAGAACCATTTTTTTAAGTCAGTGCCGTTAATCTCACGACCATTCTTATTTTGTTGAAATCATCGTCCGTGAAATATAATTCTCTTTTCCTTAGGATACTTTCTATCTTACAGTCAATACACTTGTCTTTCTCATGAGGAATTTGTTAATTTCTACATTGTTTCTTTTAAAGCACACACATTATATATATATATATATATATATATATATATATATATATATATAGATAGATAGATAGATAGATAGATATAGATAGTGGTAAATATACATACATAGGCAATCATATATCTAAAATATATATACAAACATACATACACACACACACATAGATAGATAGATAGATAGATAGATAGATATCTAAAATATGGTAAATATACACATACATAGGCAATCATATATCTAAAATATATATACAAACATACATACACACACATATATATATATATATATATATATATATATATATATATATATATATAGATAGATAGATAGATAGATAGATAGATAGATAGATAGATAGATATAGAGATAATATTAGTGGTAAATATACACATACATAGGCAATCATATATCTAAAATATATATACAAACATACATACACACACACACATATATATATATTTATATATATATATATATATATATATATATATATAGATAGATAGATAGATAGATATAGAGATAATATTAGTGGTAAATATACACATTTTAGGCTATCATATATCTAAAATATATAAATATATATACATACATACATGCACATACACACACATATATATATATATATATATATATATATATATATATATATATATATATATAAAGAGACAGGGAGATAGATGGAGAATGATACAGTAAATGTAGTGAGAGTAAGGATAAAAACCCAAAAGAAAAGCAGGAATAGTATACGGAATTTTCGTTCTGGGTGGGGTATCACAAGCTGTTTAATTCTCTTCCGGGTGGCTTGAATCCATCATACTCTGTGTTCTGTTTTTCATTATACTGTGGACATATTGCCGAAATACAAAACAAATTAATTGCTGATGAAATAAATAGATCAGAGACGACTCAAGCCAACCGCTGCCTTAAAACTAAATTATCGTACAAGTGCCGGGAAGAATTGAAAATTGTTACACTCATTGTCAACCTTGCCAAAAAATAATTATTCTTTCATGTGTGCATATCGTCGTTTAAGAATATAAGAATGTGCACGTATACTTACGCAGTCATGCAAACATATATTTTTCGAAATACATTCCTAAGCACATTCATTACTTGTATTTATATGCATGCTTATATGTTTGCTTATGTGTGTGCTTATATGTGTGTGTCTGCGTGTGTGTGTATGTGAATGGTGTTGAGCGGTCTCTGACTGCGCACGCCTTCTGCCGAACTCTCTGCGTTAGCAGAGAGGGACCCGGACGAGGCTTTGCCGAAGGGCAAGGTTTCGTCCGGGGAGGTAGACAGGGCCTGAACCCGTCTAATCGGCTTCAAAGACTATTTTTTTGGCCGAGCCTACGGGCTCGGAGAAGCCACAATAAAACCGGCCTTGTGCCATATTCGTTTCTCGTGGGTGAAATGATAAATACCGGACGGTGTTGAGCGGTTTCTGACTGCGCACGCCTTCTGCCGAACTCTCTGCATTAGCAGAGAGGGACCGGGACGAGGCTTTGCCGAAGGGCAAGGTTTCGTCCGGGGAGGTAGACAGGGCCTGAACCCGTCTAGGCGGGTTCAAAGGCTATATTTTTGGCCGGGCCTACGGGCTCGGTTATACCCACATTAAAACCGGCCTTGTGCCATATTTGGTCCTCGTGGGTGGAACGATAAATACTGTATGTGATAAACCCATCCATAACGATATTTATATATTATGAGTTGAGACACAAATTCAATCTGCAATTTGTTTAGATTTTATTGTACCGCACCCAATTATTCATTTCGCCATGAAATTAATTTCTTTTCCTTTTATTTTTCTCTTTGACGTGTTCTTGCGTTACTGGCACAATTTCTGATATCTGAGACATGGCCATTTACGTCACAAAGACAGATTTCCAGTTCTCGTGTGTTCACGGAGTTCATTCTCGAAGGAAAATGGTAACAAAAAAAAAAAAGAAAGAAAGAAAATCTCTTTACAAAATCGGGAAAAAATAAAATACAAATATACTTCTAAGAAATAATCCATAAAAAGAAATGAGAAATGAAAGTTGAAACACATAATATAAAGAAAGATATGTGTATAGAACGAATTTAAGAAAGAAGTAATGAGGGAAAGAGAAAGTAAAAAAAGAAAGAAAAGAAATTGAAAAAAGTAAACATTGAGAAATAAAGAAGGATATGAAAGTTAAATATAAACAGAAAAAATCAAATAAAGAAAAAAGAAAGATTTAATCAAAGAAAAACAGAACAAAATAATGGCATCGATATAAAAGTATTGAGCTGTGGAGACTATTTATGAACATGATTAAAAGAGAGAAAATAATTGAAAAGAAAATAAAAAATGATAGGAATATGAAAAGAAGCGATAACACTAAGATATTTAATAAGCTTATTTTTGTATTGTATAAGGTCAACGAAATGTGGCGCTTAGAAACTAAAAAAATAAAACTCAATAAAATTAGCAGAAATCGAATGAAAGTGGCACAAGGTAATGCTTAGATAAATAAAAGAAGGAGAAAACACGAAATAGAAAGAGAAACGAAAAAGAGAGAAGAAATATATAAATGGAAAATCGCAGAAGAAATAAAAAAGAATCAATTAGTCACAAATAGAAATAAAAACAAAATGTTAAATAATAGAAGAGAAAAGAAAGAAAAAAAACAAGAAAGACGGAAAGATAGAAATTTTGAACAAAGGGAGATATAAAAAAAAGAAAGAAAAAAACAAAAGAAATAAAGAGGGGAGAAAGGAAGGGAGGAAATAAGGAATAGAGGAAGCTAGGGAGGAAGGGAGGATGGAAGGAAGGAAGGAAGGAAGGACGGAAGAAAGGAATGAGGAAGGAAGGCAGGAAGGGAGAGGGAGGAAGAAAATGGGAAGGAAGAAAGGAAGGAAGAAAGGAAAGAGGGAAGGAAGGAAAAAATAAGAAAGAGGTAAGGAATGTACGGACAGGACAAAAAAAAAAAGAAACGAAATAATATGAAAAAAAAATGGTGCAAACAAATAACAAAAAGAATAAGAAAAGAATGAAGGAAAGAAGGAAAGAATGAAGGAAAGAATGAAAGAATGAAGGAAAGAAGAAAGAATGAAAGAAAGAGGGAAAGAAGGAAAGAATGAAGGAAAGAATGAAAGAAAGAATGAAAGAAGAAAGAATGAAAGAAAGAATGAAAGAAGAAAGAATGAAAGAAAGAGGGAAAGAAGGAAAGAATGAAAGAAGAAAGAATGAAAGAATGGATGAAAGAATGAAAGAATAAGGGAAATAAGGAAGGAAAGAAGTAAAGAATGAAAGAATGAAGGAAAGAATGAAGGAAAGAATGAAGGAAAGAATGAAACATTGAAACAAACAAGGAAAGAATAAAGTAAAGAATGAAAGAATGAAGGAAAGAATAAAAGAAGAAAGAATGAAAGAAAGAGGGAAAGAAGGAAAGAATGAAAGAAAGAATGAAAGAAGAAAGAATGAAAGAATGGATGAAAGAATGAAAGAATAAGGGAAATAAGGAAGGAAAGAAGTAAAGAATGAAAGAAGGAAAGAATCAAGGAAAGAATCAAGGAAAGAATGAAAGATTGAAACAAACAAGGAAAGAATAAAGTAAAGAATGAAGGAAAGAATGAAAGAATGGAAGAATGTAGGAAAGAAGGAAAGAATGAAGAAAGACTGAAGGAAAGAGGGAAAGGAAGGAAAGAATGAAGGAAAGAGGGGATGAATAAAGGAACGAATGAAAGAAAGAATGAAGGAGAGAAGGAAAGAATGAAGGAAAGAAGGAAGGAAAGATGGAAAGAATTTAAGAAAAAAATCAATGTAACGATGAAAGAAAGACAATCAAGGCTACCGAAGTGTAGTAACGTCGATCTTCTTCAGTATCTAGATGAGTAACTGTTGGAGAAGAGCAGGTTCTGTAAACTTGGATATGCGGGTGATGTATTGGTTAACTACTCGGAATTGGAAATCGGAGAACGGAGTTTCAATTCCAGTTGGGTTCGTTATATTCACATACAGCGAATTAACCCTTAGGAAAGTTATGAATTCCCTTCTTTACCTCTCAAGTATGGGTTAATCTGTAGGACTTGTATCCTTGTTATCAAATGAAAATATTTAAATTTAAAAAATATTATCTAACTTTAAAACTGCAAAATTCTAGCGAATAAAAGCGTTGTTTTGTGAATTTGGTTACATAGTAATTGGAGATTTCACTCCATGTGAGATAAATATTTGGATAGTTCTAAATAAGAACTGGAGATATTCCTAGACATGGTCAATATACGCTCGTAGATTAAATAAAGTGTTCAGTTGTTCTCGCACTTCTTGCCTGTGGAAATCCCTTCGCATTTCATGTTTAACTGTCACCTACAATATTTAAAAAATTAAATTCAACTCCAATCGCCATCATCTGTCTTCCTGAATTCTGTACTTTTACTCTACTGTTTTCTCTCTAAAGTTTTCTCGCTGTCTTCCACCCCAGTAATCCTTTGCGTCTTAGTGGCATTATCGCCTTATCCAATGGAAGGAGACCGGAGGGTACAATGGTTAAAGCATTGTAATAACAAGAATGATGGAAAAATTTGTTCGTGTGTAAATATAGAAAAAACAAAAACAGTCATGTAGTTGACATAAGTGATACACAAGTCATATCTCCTTCGAATATTGACTGACGAGGCAGGAAATGTTTTCGACAGGAGTTTGTCATTGCCAACCAAATCTATAGAACTCAGTTCATCAAGGCCGAGAGAAGAGATGGATTCATACCTTTAACAAGAGTATTTGCGCATAAAATGAATATACCGAATTCGACTAGGATTTGAACTCGCCTCTCTGATTTCTCATTCTTAGCCTCTGATCACTAAACCACAGCACAAAATACAGCGATAATGAAATTAAAACAAAAAATCAAAAATTAAAAAAATAAAGGAGGAAAATGAAGTACACGAAGGTAACAATGTTTGCAGTAAGGTTGAAGATTCAGTTTTGAATATAAAATGCTTAACGGCTCGGAAAACACAAGATTCAAAATCATAACTTACCCGGCTGTGGCTATGAAAATACGCAATTCTCGCCGGCTATGAGATAGATATATGCATAGATCATTAAGCTTTGTGACAGGTCATCCAGTGGTTACCTGTACAATATCTATAACTGCCAAAAATAGCTTCTTTTTTTCTTATTAAAGGTTATTATCAAAGCAGATATTATTAATACTGCCTTAACTCTATCTTGGTCTTCAGTTGTCAGGAACTTATGTAAAGATTTGTAATTCAGACATTCGCTTATATTTCTTAATTGGGATAACTTTGCTGTAATGTCTTCTTGTAGTTTAATGGTAAAGCATTCCTAACTAGAAGTTGAATTCTTAGATTGAAAAGGGATATAATCGTTGGATTCTTTTGGGGAAGTACTTTAATAAGACATTTGATCACTAGATCAGTGGATATTTATTTGTTTGCTAAACGTATAAAATTAAAAGGAGATGGATTTATACCTTTACCAAGAGTCGTGGCGGGTAAATAAATATACCGAACTTGACGGGGATTCGAACTCACCTGTCCGATTTTTTATTCCGAGCCGCTAACCACCACGCCACAACACAAAATTAACGACAATGGGATTAAAAAGAAAAATCAAGAATTAAAAAAATAAGGTGAACAATGAAGCCCTCAAGAAATGGAATAACAAGAAGACAAGAAAAAGACAAAATAGCAGAAAATATTAATTTTCTCTTATTGAAAAGAGGTTTGTTTGTCTTGAATCAACCCTGCAACAGGGACTGTGAAATGGCGGTTAGAGTCAGGTTGTCTGCGTAAAGTGTGTTTATCATGCAGATGATATTCTTCATTAAACGTGCTTCATCAAATTCAAGTGCCAGCAAAATGCAATATTATTCAAGAATTGGTCGAAGAGGTTAGGAAACGCATATGTTTACGAACAGGTAGAGAAAAGGAAACAAAAGAGAAAGAAAAAGACAGATGTAACAATGGAAATCGCGTAGGTGTGAATAATAAAAAAAAGAAGAATGAAAAACGGAGGAATGCAGAGAAAAAATAGAAAAGAAAGAAAGACAGGTACGAATGTTGAAACATAAAGGGAGAGGAAGAGCTGAAAGAAAGAAAGAAAAGAAATAAAGGAATGGAAAATAAACCCCCACTTCACCAACTTCAAAAAAGAAAGAAAGAAGAAATAAAAAAAAAAACAAGAGAATTTAGAAAGATATAGAAAATAATACAAAAAAATGGTTGACGTGAAGAAAGGTAGAATCAGGGGAACAACGGAAAGGTCGAAAGAAAAACATGAAATCATAGACGAAGAAAGAAAACAGCAAAGAAAGAAAGAAATAGAAAAAAATTAAATTAAAGTATTTATTAAAGAAAGAAAGAAAGAAAGAAAGAAAAAGAAAGAAAGAAAGAAAGAAAGAAAGAAAGAAAGAAAGAAAATGCATAAGCGAGAAAAAAAAAGAGTTGACGAAATTGAAGATGGACAAAAAAAAAACCGGAAGAAAATGTAGGGAGGAAAAGGCTGTGAAAGAAATAAGAGGGTAGGAAGAAAAGAAAGAGTGAGACAGGAAAATAAGAAAGTAGAAAGAATAATGGTAAGAAACGAAGAAACAGAGGCGGGACGAAGAAAAATAGAGAGGAGGAAAGAGAAAATAAAGAAAGGAAGAAAAGAAGACAGGACTAAAAAGAAAAAGAAGAAAAAAATAAGTAGGAAGAAAGAGAAAAGAAAAAGGAAGAGAAATCAGCAGGGAGAAAGAGAAAAGAAAGAAATATAAGTGGGAAAATGGAGTTCAAGTTGTAGATTTTCTGAAAAAGTATAAACACAATGATTTCCCCAGCTGGATTCGAACCCTAATTGCATTGAAGGAAACTATCAATGACACGAACGACTTAAACAAGTCGATTAAACCGGTACGAAGCAAATGGATAAGTCGGAATATATGCAAATTATGTAAAGATTTGTAATTCAGACATTCGCTTATATTTCTTAATTGGGATAGCTTTGCTGTAATGTCTTCTTGTAGTTAAATGGTAAAGCATTCCTGATTTGAAGTTGAAAGGATATAATCGTTTGATTCCTTTGGGGAAGTACATTTTCGTTAATGAGACATTTGATCACTAGATCAGTAGATATGGATTCTCCTGTTATAAATGTAAAATAAAAACCACTATTGTATACACAAACACGTGCACCCAATAAATTTACCGTCTTTAGTAACAGTATTGACACAGTAAAATGTTACACGATTAACTTAGTGGTCTTGATCAATACTTGGTTGCTGTTAGTGATTATAGTAGCTGTTTGAGAAACGAGAAAACATTCGAAGACTGACTTTCAAAGCACCTCTAAGAACAATGCAACAATTCCCCCACCCCTAGCATAAGCACATGCTCGTTGTCAGAATATCAAGAATGTCTATATATCTCTATTGTAAACTATTCACGAATCCCGTAAACCTATTAGAATCGTTGGAGTGAACTCATTTACTGCAGCCACAGAGCGGTGTTTTCTCTGGTAAGACAGCATCAATAAGCCTTAACTTTTCCTAGGCTGGGTTAAATTCAGTTTTCTTTCTTCTAGACCGGTTGGCAACCACAGCTATAGGCCTGCTCTATCCCCTTTACCCACAGCTGAATAGAAGAAGTTATATAGATTTATGTTATCCTCATGTTTATTGCCATAATCACAACGTTTCAGCCATTGTATTCTCCGGCCCTTTTCAGGTGATTGCTATTTCGAAATTGAACCCTTTATTCCGTCCACCGTAGTAGATTGTTCTAGTTCCACGTGCCATGCTTCTTTCGGATGTCTCAGTTATTCTCTAAGTTTTTAGTTCACCACTTCTATAGCCTGTTATTAAACTCACAACTCTTTGGGACGAGTCACTGGATCTAAGCAACGTCTTTATCCACTGAGCCATGTGTCATTGAGCAGTGGTGAACCCAAAACTTGGAGAGTTGAGTTAAAGAAAAATAACTGAGATATCTGAAAGAGGCATAGCACCTGGAACTAGATCTATCTACCCCGGTGGACGAAACAAGAGGGTCGGTTCGAAATTCCAATCACCTGAAGAAGAGTTGAGCGTACAACGGCCGAAACATTATGAATATGACAATGAAGATGAGGATAACAGTCCAAAAAAATGTAAAATAATGCAAGTAATGATAATACCTCATCTCAGAGATATAGACAAGATAAAAATGTAGATTCTTGATCCATTGATTTAGTCTTCAACTCGTTGTGGACTATTAAAAGCCGAGACACATTTCGGATAGCAGGAGGCTAATTACAGTACCCGTTGTTCATATGCAGTCGCCTATCTAGACAATGAACAGTTTCGACGCTGCTTAACGTTGTTTTCAGCGCCATATTGACCAATGGGCAGAGGGGAGTAGATAAATATAAAGAGGAAATTGCAAAAGGACAGACGTGAAAGGTAAAAAAAAACAAATATGCCAGGGAAATCGGAGAGAAAATAAATAGGGTTTTCACACACTCGATCTCAGAGTGTAATGTAACTTGAAACTTCTTCTTTAGACAAGTTTTTTTTATTCATCTGACATGGAAAAATTCTTCTTTAGGCAAGTTTTTTTTATTCATCTGACATGAAAAACACCGTAACATTTCTCTTAAAACCTCTCTCCGTGACCCTCATTGCCGAGGTCAGAAAAAAAAAATTAAAAGCAATAAAATAAAATAACTTGTAATAAAAAACAAAACAAAATGTTCTCTTTCCGGAACTGCATTGTCTGCATTCAACGGGGTTTATAGCAACATAGATGATTAATCACCAGCTGCTATTTTAAGTTAAAAGCCGGAAGTGACAAATTTGATTGTTCTTTTCGATTCTTGTTTTTGAAAAAAATAAATCAAACAAACTAAAAACTCTTTGTTTGTGAGCAAAAATCATGTATTTGCGGGCACAGCTCTTCAGTGTTCAAAGAATAATAGTCAACTTGTGTTCAGTGATTTCTCTTAAGTCATGACAGAGAAACAATAAAACATGACTGTATTCACTAGCTGCAACCTGTTATGTCTATTCAACAATTAAGCACACTTTTGAATATATGAGGTCAAAAATGAGCGGCGATAGCCTCTTTCACCCATGACGCCGCTCTGTGTTGTCCTTCATTTTGTTGTCTGTGTCCAATTTTATATTTATACTAGCAGCATGGCCTGGCGTTGCCCGTGCTTGATTCAAAACTTGTACAACTCATACAGCAATCGCTATCACTTGACTTAAAATATTTTTGCCCTTCCTTGCCTTTAAAGGAGTGCCCTTTGCCGTGCTGATGTTGCTACATGCTTTACTTCTTGCTTATCTCACACTGCGAATTTTTTCTAAGCTCTATACTAAACATTAAATCTGTTACGAAAAAAGAACTAAACAAAATGAACACAAAACGATCAGCTTTAAAAAAGGATTCGTAACTGGAAAAACCGAATGAAAAAAGAATGTTAACAACAAATACTTTTTCACACCCAACCCAGTTCTGCGGAAGCAGAATCAACGTTGAGTTTAAGCAAGCGAATGAGCCAATTGGAGTAAAGTGCCATACAGATTTAAATTTTTACCACTTGTGACGAATGCAGCTATCGATTTTTTTTGCATGCTAGCATGCTAGCTAACATTCATGTCAGTTAGCTGTTGGCTTTCACGCTTGCCAATAGAATCTTCCTGCCTATTCGTGGCAGCCAGCTATAGCCTCTCACTCTGGTCAGTACAAAATGGCCGCAAACTATATGAAAACTGCCGTAGAAGCATGAAAAAAATAGATTATTTCCACTATCGATGAGACTTGGGAAATGCATAGTCGGTCTTGGCCTTTCCGTGCAAATTCATCGAAAATTGCGGCCCTGCATTCGTTACACACACACACACACACACACACACACACAAACACACATCCTGCCTTTTATAGATAGAGATTTACATACGCTCTATCCCTGATATTAAGCTCTTTAACACATAAATATCAGTCAGTCAGTTAAGTGCCACACGTGATACACGTTTGGGCGATCATGTATCTTACGATAGATGACTGATGTGGAGAAAATTTTCCTGCAGTAAGTTGCCATTTATTTCTGAGGTAGACCGGTTGACAACCAAGTCTAACGAACCCAGTCTGTCCTGCTACTCAACTCATAGCTGGGAGAAGACATGTATTCATGCCTTTCCCAAGGTAATTTGTACGTAAGTGAATATAACAAACTCGGCTTGAATTCGAACTCGACCCTCCGAGTTCTCATTCCCAACCGATATCTATTACACAACACACATAAATATAGCATAACTTAAAACTATATTTTATCATATATACACCCTTGTGCAAATTAATTGAAACAACCGCTTCAGTTTCCTTTCTTTCAACATACGGTCAATTTTAGATCCACCGGAGTGAGAGGGTGTAATTTCTATTTTTTTCGCAGATTAGGCCATTTGCAGTGGTGTACAGTAATATGAATATATTTTCGAGACGTATGATGAAATTTGTTTGGCCTTGAAAAATATTGCGTTATCCGTGATTGCATCAGATTTTCATCACGCTCGGACTATTTTGTCTCAACTGTCGATTAGTTGTTAGGCGGCCATTTTCTGCGATACGCGTTACTCCAAGGAAGCGTGTGAAAGTAGTAACGCTGCACAAGCACAATGTCAAGCCTTACCAGGGAGCAAATCAATGTACTATGGACAGGCTTGGAAACTCTCCTGATATAAATCCAATCGAGAATCCGTGGTCAATCTGCAAAGAAAGAATTTGTGGAATGGACATGTGAAGTACTAACATGTGCTCTGGGTCACGTTTCTTTCGGAAAATAAGAAAAAAGTAAATAATGACATAATTATTCGTTTTGTTTCAATTAATTTACATAAGGTATATATATATATATATATATATATATATATATATATATATATATATATATATATATATATATATATTTGTGTATTTACACAGCAATCTTTCTTTCATTAACATTTCATTGAATACGACAGAAATGTCCTTTGATTTAGTTTTTTTTATACAATTTCGATTGTGATCTAATAACGGTTTTCTTTTCGGTTGATAAATTATATAAAAACTCTCCAATTTTTCTTTTTACCCGAGCGCTTAAGACTATACATTTAGCCATTTTCCAGGGTGAAATATATTAACTGTTAACAAGAAATAGTTTGTTGTATGTATGTATTCATATCATGTTATCATTTTCAAATCTCTGTCAAGATATTGTGTCCTGGTTCATAGTAGATATTATTGAGCGTTTTTATTAATAAAGTTTCCATTATTTTTGCCTTTTTTGCATGTAGATGATGCGATTATATTTGTGTTGTGAACAAGAATGTTAAGAAAACATTTCTCGTTAACAGTTAATATATTTCAACCTTGAAAATGGCTAAATGTATAGCCGAAAGCGTTCGGATAAAAAGAGCAATTGGACAGTTTTTATCTAATTTATCCTCCGTATCAGAAAAAAATTATTAAATCTTATGAGAAATTGTAAAAAAAAATCAAAACACACACACACATATATATATATATATATATATATATATATATATATATATATATATATATATGTGTGTGTGTGTGTGTGTGTGTGTGTGTGTGCGTTTGTGTGTGTATACTAAAAAGAATCAGTCCTGGGTAAGACGATAAACTACGACCAACAGCAAGGC